TGGCATGTCATTTCAGAAAAAGTCCGATTTTGTGTCAAAATACCTATCAATGTATCCAGCCTAATGTAAGGTTCTATAGAATGTATCCAGCCAAATGTGAGGTCCCTACAGGCCGCTTAGTCAGCACGAAAACGTTCTTTAATCAGTACTGGTTCGATCACCAATAAGAAAGTATGTACATCATTAAATTTCTCATCACATAACAACAATTTCCATTTTTTACTTTCTTAAAGTGCAAGATCTAAATAATTGATGACTAGTTATTTTACTATTATATATATGCTAAGAAATAAATGCTGATAATAAATCATTCATTCATTTATTCGATTTTAAAATTTTGCACAAAAAACGGCAAAAATTGCACTCGGTTATTTGTGATAGTAAATGATTACGTGTAAAACTCAATCTTTAACACTATTTATTAATTTGTTTTAAATAATTTTTTAAAAAGAATAATGTATAAGTTCAATTAAGCATTCGACTTGTTTATCGATAGCAAAATCATTAGTAACCGAAAATATTATGTTCAGTTTGCATTAAGTGGATTAATCGTAACTCATTTCTCATTTGTCTAAAATCCGCTATTCAGTTCCCAGTCGCTTCAGAAACATATTCGATATTTGTCGTTAAAATTAAATTTTTAAAAGATCGAATACTTTTAAAATGCCAAAATATACCAAAAATATCAAAACTCAATTTAAAACATTTATAACTGGTTTATGAAGGGAAAATTTTATATTCGTATTTCTGCATTTCTCTTCGCTTAATTTGCTCTTTTACTTTATCTTCCAAATATTAAAATAGTTTATATAAAATAACAAAAAATTCTTCGTTAGCGACATAAAACTCTAATATATTCTCCGCGCAACATTATTGATAAACAAATCACAATTTTTAGTCGATTTTTTTCCAAATTAGAAAAATAACGTATAATTAGAATTGCCTAGTTAAAAAAATCGACTAAAATTCTAAAATTAAAACAAATTTTTAAAATTTACATTTTTGAGAAAAGAAGGTATAATAACTTTATAATCCCGAAAATGCGCATAATTTTCTTAGTATTAATAAAAAATATGCATAAATATATTTACAGGTTACAATTTGCAAGTAAGCATGATTATATATTTTATCTATATTGAGTAGATAATGATCATAACTTTAATTAAATAATGGAAAGTAAAGAATTTAAAATTTCATACGATTTCAAATTTAATTATAATTTTAAAGTTGTTATGCCAGGAGCACAATAATTTCCCATTTTATACAGATACTATATTTGCAAAAGTAATCAGAATCTCTTGAACTTCTAATCCACCAGTTCAAAGAAATCATGCACTCAAGCATTGAAACTATATTTTTATGAAATTTTAACTGGAAAAGAAATTACCTTAGAAATGTGCAAGCGCATTACTTTTCTTAAATTAATAAATGTGATAAGTTATCTAATCTCTCAAACGCGTAACTATATATTGAGAAAATATATATTATTATTTATTATACATCATTGTTTAAGTATCATGTTAGTTATTAGTCCAAAGGGCTTTGTCCCAGAAGGATATTGTTTTCGTTTTGCGATTTTGCGTTGAATCAATATAAATGTCCGTTTCACTTTTCAAACTGTTGCCACCCAATGTTAGAGTCCTGCATTATATTTGAAGAAATTAAATAATGAAAAATCTGCATAAATGTATGTATATTTCTCGCATTGTGATAAAACAACCATCGAATTTCGAATGATTTAATCCTACTGCGTGGAAGCCCAAATTTGAAATTTGGAATTTATTTGATGATCGATTTCATATTTTGTAAAACTTTAACGAATTTTTGAGTAACAAACTCAACGATTTGAAAGCGAACAATGGCAACAATTTACGGGGGGAAAGGAAAACTTTTTTATCTTCAGCGCACGGAACTGAGTATCGCAAATTCTAAAAATAGGCTCATTTTAAAATTATTTTGCGACATTGCTATTGAACTGAAATTTATGGTTTAAGTGCGAAGAACATGATATTTAATAAACAAAGGTAGCACACAAAGCGTTAAAAAAACGCCACTTTCGACGCAATTTAAAATCCGAAACCTTTCAGATTTTTTTTCTATTTATTTTTATTATAATTTCTTTATAATAGAAAATAAATGGAAAAATTATAATAAAAAAATCTATATTTTATATGAAATTGATAATTATCACTCGTGCTTATTTGCAAAAACGTTTATATTAATTTTTACAAATTTTATGTAAGATATTTAAGACCATTTTTTGAAAATTTTCAGAATTTTTTTAGAACCAAGAAAACAAAAATTTCCTTTTTCGTCAGAAATTTGAAATTTTCGAAAATTAATTCCGTAGAATGAGAGTATTATAAATAGGATTATCAGAAAAGAATCAGAAAATATGTCGTAAAAAAAAAATGTTAATTTTTTTTCCACAGATGTTCGATATGACTTCCTTTAGTGAAAAATATAATATCATTGCAACATTCTTGCAATGATATTATATTTTTCACTATATTTCAACATTTGCCATTTCTTGCCAGACACATTGTAATGCCTCCCTATTAACTGTTTTTAAAGCATCATAAATGCTTTCACTTCAAGCAAATTTGTAGACAAAGGTGGTATCGACAGAAGATCTTTGACATATCCCTAAAAGAAGAATTCACAGAGAGTTAAGCCAGGTAACTTAGAGGGGTAGTTGTGTAGGACCAAATCATCGCATTGCTACCAATCCAATAGTACGGTAGTAAATATCCAATAGTATCTGTTTAGAAATTAATGAACCTCTAAATGTCAATCGTTCGGTGCATCAGCTTAAAAAATGAAATTTTGCATATCTACCTCCAACTAAGGGAAAAGCCAAATTTCCAACATTTCGAGGTAGGTAATACCACTCACTGGTTTTTCAGCAAAAAAGTAGGGTCCATAAAACTTTGATGAAGGTACTGCACAAAAGACTTTTACTTTTAGGGAACCTATTACGTCTTCATTGGAGATGGAGATTTTCCAATCCCCAAATGCATGTTATGGCGGTTTATTTTGCCACTTAAATGAAACGTGGCTTCATCACTAAAGCTGATTCCGAAAATTTTCGTCTTCCATAGCTTCACCCATGAAAAGTCAGTAGTTTAGACACTGCAACATGTCACTAGGCTTCAATGCTTGATGCTTTGCAATATGTAAGGCTTAAAATGCAATTTTTTCTCAATACAGTTCAAATGGTAGATTGAGGAATCCCAATTTCACGACTAGCACGAATCGTTCACGAATCGTGTATTTCTTCGGATTTCTTTCCTACTTTTTACCATCGACTGACCAGCTGGCCCACTAGGTTAGTTTTTTTTTCAGCCTGTTGGATCCCGTCGATGGAATTCAAATAAATACATTAATAAATATAAATAAAGAGCTTAGTACTGTGTCCTCCGGGGATTGGCCACGAAACGAGGAACATTGAAATAAGGACCAGAACATGGAAAGAAGGTGCATGATGGGGATTGCTGAGGCTAAGCGGAACGCTTTCTTGTATTATCGTACATGTTAAGCATACAGTTATATTAAGGATGTGCTATAATAATCAGGTACTGATGTAAAGATGATCAAATAAATTACAAATTGTGGAATAAATTAAATGAGTTCTGGATTAATCATAGTATTAAAAATAATTTAATATTATCATGAATCCAGAATTAATTTCTTCGGACTGCGTAAAAATATCTTTCGTGCTCTTTCAACAATTCCCAGTTGCCCTGGACTTTTTCCCTATTGCTTGGAGCTGGTTTCCTTGTTGCTTGGAGCTCCTAGTTGCTTGGAGCTAGTCACCACCTTCTGACATTCTGAGATGTTCTTTTCAACAATTCCCGGTTGCCCTGGACTTTTGCCTTTATACAGTGCATCTAGTTGCTTGGAGCTGGTCACCACCTTCTGATACTCTGAGATGTTGTTCCTTTCAACAATTCCCGGTTGCCCTGGACTTTTGCCTTTATACAGTGCATCTAATTGCTTGGAGCTGTTCATCCCTTTCTGATACTCTGAGATGTTGTTCTTTTCAACAATTCCCAGTTGCTCTGGACTTTATACAGTGCATCTAGTTGCTTGGAGCTGGTCACCACCTTCTGATACTCTGAGATGTTGTTCTTTTCAACAATTCCCGGTTGCCCTGGACTTTTGCCTTTATACACTTCATCTAGTTGCTTGGAGCTGTTCATCCCTTTCTGATACTCTGAGATGTTGTTCTTTTCAACAATTCCCAGTTGCCCTGGACTTTTGCCTTTATACAGTGCATCTAGTTGCTTGGAGCTGGTCACCACCTTCTGATACTCTGAGATGTTGTTCTTTTCAACAATTTCCGGTTGCCTTGGACTTTTGTCTTTATACAGTGCATCTAGTTTCTTGGAGCTGGTCACCAGCTTCTGATACTCTGAGATGTTGTTCTTTTCAACAATTTCCGGTTGCCTTGGACTTTTGTCTTTATACAGTGCATCTAGTTTCTTGGAGCTGGTCACCACCTTCTGATACTCTGAGATGTTGTTCTTTTCAACAATTTCCGGTTGCCTTGGACTTTTGTCTTTATACAGTGCATCTAGTTTCTTGGAGCTGGTCACCACCTTCTGATACTCTGAGATGTTGGTGCTTTATTTGTATGGTCCTTTTTATTAAATTCACCCTGAACAGTGATTGTTGCCTGATTGCTTGCAGAGGAGACGACACAAAAAGCCTTGTCCTCTTTAGATTCCATGTTCACTTCTTCTGAAAATTTCAGAAACAGTTTACTGACAGTAATGCTGCCACCAGTTGCGAAAAGACAATGTTAAAATATAAAAATGCAACATTTTTCCTTTACAATGACATATTAATTATCTGTTTGTAAGTAATTATGGAAAATATTAAATTTTGTAATCGGATGATTCTTCCCTAATAATCCTGTGTATTAATGTTTGTTTCTTAAAGTACAAATATGCCATTTCATATCATTTCATATCATTTATTTCTTTACTCAGGATCTCAGTAATGAAAGGAGGAGGGCTCAGATGGCTGCAGCTAGACAAGTACTCGAGCGATCAACTGTTCTATTGCTCACCGCATCAAAGGTAAGTTCTTTCAGAGTTGTGATTCAGACAAGATCTAATTGAAATAATTCTGTATAATATAATTGAAACCTCTTTCTTTTCTGATGTTAGGACTTACAAGTTAGTGTTAATTTCTTAAATTATAGAATCATCCGTTAATTGCTTAACTAAGGAACAAAAAATTCCAAACTTTTGGGGCCGTTTTGTTTCTTTACGCTGTCATGCATTTATTATCCATGCACCACAGCCACGTGATGTCTTTACATGCAGTACTGCATTATTGAGCAGTAATCAGAGTTAATTCATAAGTTTCGATAACCAGCGGTTCTAATGGTCACCATCGAATAGTGCCTTTGATGGTCAGCGTTATTTTTCGATTTAATTTTATTTTTTGAATCTATCAAAATTTACTGCACTGCCTCTCGGCGCTGACCATCTTGTGATTTCTGTAAGGACCTATAGAATCATTAGGTGTATCGATGAAGGAGATATGAAAAATGTGCAAAGCCCTCACCGAGATACGAACTATGACTGGACCTGTCATTTCTAACAGGGCGTGCTATCCTGTCACACCACGAAGTTACACAGAAAGGAGGGAGAAAATACTTTATATACTCCCCCTTTTAAAAAACGAGTGGGGACGCAGAGACCCAGTCGCAAAGTCTTGGTGGTGACAAAGTATCATCCATTACCTTTTAGTTCGGGCGACACATATTGAGTCGTTTTGAATTTTTCGATGTCAGGAACTCTGCCTGTGTGTCTGCATCACCATGAGGACAACAGGCCTGTTGTTATGCTTGTGTGTCCTCTGAAGGAAATATCTACTGTTTGCGCACAACAGCCAAGGCCCGAGAGGACAAGTGACATAATTTAAACAATTGTTATTGAGTTACATGGGCAAACAAGGCCTTTAAAGGCAATACATTGAAGTCTTGTGTTGCTACAAGTGAACAGTATATGACAAGCTTAAAGATGCAATGCAAAAATTAGAGGTTTATATGCATTCATAAGGCGTCATCAGTCCCATCGTCAGAATCCGAAGTCCGTACCTCTCGATGCTAGCCAGACGTGCTATACGATAATACCACAAAGCCACGTGGAAACTAGGGTGAAAATACCTTATAGAATATATGGCAAGGTCCATGTCTCTAGAACCCTTATCCGGATTTCGATTTTCTAAAGACGGTATATTATGGAAGGCGCGTTTTTTCGATTGACATGCCAACCTGCAGACCGCATCCAATCTGAACTGTACATATATTCCTATGCAAGGTATATCTATAAAAAATAGTTGGGAATATCTATATCGTCTTCCGGATGCGATCTAATTAGGACTATAGGATGGTCGTGTTCTTTTGACTGAAATATAGTTGATAGCCACTAGTAACCTTTCATTTATTATTTTTTTAATAATCTTTCTAAATCATTCCAAATATAAAGGACTCTGTATTCAAAAAACGGATTGTAAACTTGTTTTAAGTGGATGTTTTCGTGACGTTTGTGCGTACGTAATCTATCTATGTATCTCGCATTACTCAAACACGATTAGCCGTAAAACGTTGAAATTTTGTTTATGTGGCCGCTTTGTTTATATGGCGCAGATAACAGATCATCAAGCATGTAAGAAGTTTGCAGTCTTTCAACTTTTACTTCTATATAGCACTTCGTTGTAAAACGTCCTAGATTTATGTTCGTAATTTCCAGAAATTTCGGAGTAACTTTGGCAAAATGTCAATAGATCGAGCAATATGGCCATATAACTGAGAAAAGCAATGTCTTGGAAGAAGTCGTCTGTTCTTGGAGGAGCCAGTATGAGAATAGCAGTCTGTCGTAAGTAATTCAGTAGATATTTGAAAACATTCTTAATTAAAAATGAAGAAACATAAAAATACACAATGCAAATTAAGATAAAAGTAAAAATCCGATAAATAATATAAATGAAATATTTACAAGTCCCATTGTAAAAATTAGACCCGCGTTCTCGTCGGACTCAAAAACTGAGTCCAGAAGCAATCCCGTTCGCTACGAAGTTATTAGTAGAAATGATAGAAAAAGCAGTTTAAATGAAGAGTTGGAGTGCCCGAAGTTCAAATTCTAGTTTTTCATTTTCGTTATTGATGCTGATAAATGTGTGGTAAAGATCTTATAGCTTAAAAATGAGAGAGTTAAATTCATTTAGATTATTAATGTTGGAAATCTTAGTTTTTCCAGTTTAAGGAACATCTTCCTTGTTATTAGTTACTTCAGTGTAGGTTTTGGAATTATTTCTGGTTGCTACAGTTGTGCTTTTGGTAAATTTGGGGGGAAAATCTTCTTTACTAAAAGGATTGTGCTTATTATTTTGAAATTTTTTACTAAGATGTTCCCAGAAATCAGGGCTGGTGGCTGCGTGGAAACCATTACACAGAACACATTTCGTTGGAATTTCTGTCTTTCCTTTTATAAGACATTCGTAAGAATTATGATGTCCTAGACACAGAACGCATCTGGGAATATTTGTAGCATGCCTTTTGCGTGTGGCCATAGCCTTGACATCGGAAGCACTGTACAAACTCCGGCCTGCTCTTATATCCAACAATGCGAACTCTCATATCAGCGATGTGCATTGCGTGAAAAACTTCTTTTTCTTTGGGGGTTTTAAGTGTTTCCAGTTAAAAAAACAGGAAGAAGTGCGGGAACTCCGTCTTTCATAATTTGCAACTGATGGCATTTTAGAACTGTAATATTCTGGCTTTCTAATTCTTCCTTTATTTGGTCAGCAGGTGTATGAACGGATAATCTTTTAACAACTGTTTTAAGATTTTTATCGCTGTTGAGTAAAAACGTAATGAAATGGGATTTTCTGTTGTTTTAAATAATTTTGCACTAGGCAAAAGTCATCTATGTTGTAAAGTTGAATTCTTAAGTTGGCGCCGTCTATTTTACTTTCCAATTCTGGGATTTTTAGATTTTCTTTAATGTGTTTGCGGAGCTCGTGCCAATTTTTCTCTTTCTGCATGATAACGAGTGGCGGTATTTTACGACGCGGTCCGCATTCATACTTCTTAGTTGCTGGAATTTTCGTAATATCTTCGTCCATTTCCTCATCAAGATTTTCGTTATTGTTTAAGGTTTCAAATCTGGAGCTTGCGCTCAAGGGTTGAGATTCGATGGATGATCCGCTATCTCTACGTGAAATCTCTATGTCTCTACGAACGTTTATCCCGTTTAACGGTAGTCCATTCTCGTTTTTATTTTGAGATATGTTATTTGAATTACATGTTGAGGCCTGATTATAGTGAGCAAGACTTGCTTATGCATCAATAATAGACTTCGAAGTTATTGCGATACATTTGTGAGTTTTAGTTTCCCATTCTTTTCGAAGTATTTCGATGATTTTTGCATTTTTCAGAAGTGGATGGTTCTCTTTCGATTTTCGTTTTCATAGTACTATCTTCCAGCTCATCAAGTCGCTTTAAAATAACTTTCATTTGATCAAGGTGGTCGTAATTATTCTGAGTAGAAGTTCACAAGCTATTGTGGGAGTCGGCCTTTACTCTTTGTGAACCAGCAACATTTACTAATTCAGAAGTCAAACAACAAAAATCAGTCAATCAAATGGTTTGCATTTGCGGTTTTGCAGCTGAAGATGATGGTTCGGTAAAACCATCGAAACTAGTCCTGTGAAAATTTTGTAGGTATAACGCTGATTTTTGTTGTTTGACTTCTGAATTAGTATTTATTCGGCGTTATTGTGTCTTAATCAGCAACATTTAATTAATTTTCTACAATTAAGGATCTTAGACCCCTACACCAGTACCTTCTAGAATTTGCTAGTCTATTACGTAACCGCTACTATAAATATTGAGTAAGCGCCATTAAAAAGTCAGACTGCTTCCTAATATCGTTGCTACAAGACTCTGCACTGCTCTGTCCATCCATCTTTCCTTTGTTAGAATTAGTTATGACGCAGAAAGTTTAAATTCATTCCTACTTAGTTAAAATCACTATGGATATGTAATTTAAAGAGTTTTCATCTAAAAGGAAAATGATCTGTTAATTGGATTCAATAAAAATGTGCGATTAAAAGCTAAATCAATTTTTTGTCGTCTTTAGATATCCTCCTTACCACTCTGCAAAAACCCATACCTGAACTTTGATGCCATGCTTCACCACGACAGCTAAAATATCACACACACACACACACTCACACACACACACATATATATATATAGTAGAATTATAATTAAATTTATTTTTATTTCCCCGTGCAATGCAGCACGAGGTATATTTTAAGAGAAAGCTACGCTGCAAAAGTAAAAATGGAAGAGCACGTGTTCTTAACATTTAATAAATAGTTATCTCTTTAATTTATATTTAATTCTAACAAACGTAATTGACTACTATGTTAGCTGTAACCGTAATTCTATTCTTTTTGCTTTGCAGAAATTTCTAGAACTATCTCGCGCTGCCGATTTAAAACGCTATAAAAGCCAGAGGGAGAACATCTCAGCTCAGAAAACTGTTGTTTGTTGATTGTAGTGAATTCGCGGTGAGATCGGATAAGCTTTCTCTACGCTTTGGATTGCGTTCTAGTTAATGTTTTAGCAGTTTAAAATATAACTACCGCGTAATATTGTGATATTGTACAAATATCTTTGAGGAAAAATCCAGCGTTTTGTTATATTTCTTTTGATAAGAATAAATTTTATTAACTTTTTACCGGACTTGTACATTTAGTCTATTACGAACCCGTATGCATACAACAATGTATTTATACCCACCCTCCTTAGCCGGCTTAAAGTTCTTTGTTTTCGCAATCGTTGGTCGTAGTCGTGTACTTCCTATTACAGGTGTGTTTTAAGTGACGAAAATATTCCTGTTTTGGCAACTTCAAATTAAAAAAATAATTAATTTTACAAAATAATAAAATCTAACTTTTAATGCAGTCTACGGTTCCTATGCTTATGTCTGGGATTGTTTTATACTCGTTATAAAAAAAATTAAAATACAAGAAGTTTTGACTTCCTTCCGACAAAAAT